AATACAGGGTGTTGTAATTATTGTGGAAAATTAGAAACAGTGCAACATATTTTCTTAGAATGTAACAAATATATATGAGAAAGAGAGTCTTACATAGAGCAGTGTTTCCCAAAGTTGGGGTCGGGACCCAAAGTGGGGTCCCGAAACATCAAGGTGGGGTCCTGAAAAGATTCTCTGATTTAATTACATTTTTGCCTTAGTTGTAACAAAGGTGTGAGGTTAGTATATTTAAAATGGACAAATGTAGTAAATAATATTGTTACTATGCCCATGTTTTGTTGACCTGATACAAATGTTTATCATCCAAAAATAGCTGGGTGCACAGGTCTCTGCTACTGTTATTTTGTGGGTCAAAAGGTAAAAAGTTTGGGAACCACTGCACTTTGGTTCCCAAAGTTGGGCTTTGACCCAATTATGGGTCATGAAGCACCTTGGATAATCTCCAGAAATCAATTTAAATGGTAATAAAATAATTGCTGATGTAATATTTCCCCTATAATATTACAAAACCACAAAATAAGTGTAAATAAGTATTTATATTTGTGTATACACGGTTAAGATTGTCAAAAAGCCTGTGTTTTTGGGGTTATTAACGAAGTTCATGTACTCAGACCAGTAATATTTGGGGTCACAAGTTTTTGCCAWGGATATTTTGTGGGTCAGAAGATAAAAAGTTTGGGAACCACTGACATAGAGAGTTAAGTAGAAATAAGAATAAATTAGATATTAGAGATTTGTTTCAAAGGTCATCAGGAGATGTAGTTTTTTGTAGAATATCAAAATAAGAAGAACCGGTGTTATGGAGAGGTTATAGGCATCTGATCCATACTCCATTCTGGAAGGTGGAGGTAATGCACCTAAAAGTTGTTTGCAAACCGCCATTAAATAAAAGAAGAAGAAGAAGAAGAAAAAGTTTTTCAGATAATGAGCTAAAGTTTGGTGAGGTGGCAGCTGAGACTGATACCCAAGACATGTTTAACCGCTATCATGAAATATGAAATATTTGTTTAAAGGAGACATATCATGCTTTTAAATCCTACTTTGTCCACATTTAAATCATTCTGTTGGTGTCATGAGTTTTGCTTTGATTAGTGTTCTTTTAATGTGATTATTTCTCATTCAGTTTTGTTGTTTGGTATTCTTGTTTTATTTTCTTGTTTCCTGTCTAGTCCCATCGTTTTGTATGCCTTTTACTCCACTTTACCTTCAGTCGGCTTCTTGGGCTGTGCCCAAATATTAAAAAAACATGTCCATACAGATAACAAAAGCATTAACAACACAATTGCTTGAAATTTTTCAATTTTTATACCACCAGATTTTTATTTAAAACTGTASTCCTTGTTCTCGTTTCATCTGCCATTATTAGCAGGAAATAAAATGCATTATGGGATGGTGTGCTGAAAAATCCATCRGACCTGTCCCTCAAATTGGTGCAAAAGAAGGACGCATTTGTTGGCCATCTTGTAGGAGTCTTTGAATTTGGACAGCGCGGTGCTCCAACATAAGCAGTCGACAAATCGGCCTTCGGAGGACACAGCCTTAGTGTTTWTCTAGCCTGCTGCTCACACCTGTCCATTGTCTGTGATCACTCAGGTGTTTTCAATCACCAATCATCCTCAGTTGTATTTAACCAGTCTCTTGTCTCCGTTGCCCCTGCATTACTGCCTGACTTCATGCTCCAAGCCTTGTTTGCATTCATGATTCTCGTCTTTGTTATTTTTTGCTGCTTCTTCAGCGTTTTCTTTTGTAATTTAATAAACCAGTTTTCATTTTTACCTTCAAGCCCTCATGCCCACCTGCATTTTGGGTTCCCACCATACCACAATCCTTGACAGTTGGGGTCTATATAAAATGGAACTGCAATGCTTTGGTCTGAATTCCTCCTTATTGTAACTTCACAAGCCCCTCCTCCCTTTTCTGAGATGTGTCTCAAAGCAAGTTATTTTGAGGCTGTCTCTTTAGATGCAAGCGAGGGGCTTCACACTCCGCCCCGCTCCAGCTTCCAGACCGGTCCTTGTTTGATAGAGGGRTTTATGACTTCATAGCAGCACAGATTTTTTTTTACAAATTAATTTAAAGATGTTAACAAGGGAAGACTTGTCCATCCAGCCTTACATGTTGGAGCCAGAACTTGACCCGAGAGGAGAATGAAGATGATGAAATTGTAGCTGATAAGTCCAGACCTTATTTAGAAGTTCCATCGCAAATACTGTGGAGTAACATATCAGAAAACCTTACAGAAAATGAAAACTGAACGCAGCACCAGGACAAACTAAATTATACTTTTCTGCACCACTAGAGACTCCAAGTACAAAACAAAACATATTTAACAGCTAAAAAAGTGGGTTTTGATTTGATTTGATTTATTGATTTAACAGGAAAAGATTACAAAAAATCAAGCCTGACTCAGCATAATTGCTGTTTTACAGCAGGTTCCTGTTCTGCAGCACATAAAACACTCAGAAAAAAACTCTCACATTTTGCACAATAGGTCCCTTTAAACTGTTGTATACCTACAGTATGTTGAGTCTGCCTGTTGGCAAAATGTCTTATGAATAAGGGTGTGAATTTTAATGAATATCAGGAAATAATCATTGGATTTACCTCAATTAATTATGGTTTTAACTCCTTCCGATTCAACCAGCAACACATAAATGGCTGTAACTCTGCTGTGGTGACAGCTGAGAGTCATTCACAACACATACTCTGAGTGCATGAGATCATGCATAATGGTATTGTTAAAACTTGGATTAAAAAACCCCTCAAACTTTACTATTTTTCAACACATTTTTCAACTTATTTTCAAACCCCGGCGTGAAAAGTAGAGAGCAATTTGAGAATGTATTTTTTCCATTTTATGGCCTTTGAATTGGATTTTATTGTCTTTACGCAAAGCATTTAATGACTTTCATGTGTGTATGTATTCCAAGCAGTAAATTACCAAAGACATGTACTTATTACCCACATGCCTCACACTGTGATGCCGTTCCATGTCAAATATTTTACTTATGAGTGACTGAAACAGAAATTCTTTTCTCCACATTGTGTTTACAGCCCTTAATGAATGTTGACTTGCATGCTGGCTAATGAGTTTGGATTTTAAATCAAAACTCAACAGATGAGGGACGTGTTGGCGGGGGGCGGGGCGGGGGCACATTTATTAAAGAACCACTATAGTGTTTGGCATTGGGCCTGTTGGGAGAGCTCTGTAATCTACTGTTACAGTAACAAGAAAGCAATCATGMAGAACAACCTTCTACTCAGGAACTCAATTATGTGCAAGCAAATGTACTTCATTCACAYGTGGCTTGTTTTTCCATGGTTTACCCTCACATTCATTAGCTGTGGAACATAGAGAATTAGACATCCATACATACGTGTTCTAGATTTTTAACAACTTTTATATCTAGGAGCATCTGTAAGCAGTAATGTTAATGCTTTGTGGCAATCTTGCAATTTTCATTCTAGTAAATTAATGTTTATTTTGGCCAGGTTTGCGGGTAAGAAGTAGCCCAGGATCCACGCGTCACTGGCAGCTGGTTATAATGTTCCATTCATTTGAAACATTAAAAAAAAACTTTGTTGATGTTTTCAGATTTTATTTGATGACCGCCTTTCCGATGRGGAGAAAATAAAGTAAAGTCAAGGCTCATTTGTTACTGCGAAGCACGTGTTTGTGTGTGCAAGTGCGCGAGCGCGTGCCAAGCCCCACACCRGGAGGGACCACCAGGGAGGAAAAGTGGTCCCCGAGAGAGGAGAGACGAACCAATGAGACGCCTTATCCTGAACACATTTTTTTTTCTAAAATTGACTGATTGAGCATTTTTATTGAGCTCTCAGTGTTATTATTTGTATTTATTTATTATTTGTATTTATTTATTTTGTCAGAGCTCGAGCGTTCTCCCTCACAGACGCGCATTCTTCGGACATGTTGCTGCGTAAAAATAGGAATACAGTTGTCCATAACTGGCACCCATTGACACAATAGCTCTCGTTCCATAGTAGCTCCTCCCTGTGTGTGTGTGTGTGTGTGTGTGTGTGTGTGTGTGTGTGTGTGTGTGTGTGTAGCGGGTGGGTGACAGCTGGGCTCGCTGCGCTCCGCTCCAGTCTAAGCTTCTCCAAATAGGATGACTGTCGGCTTTTGTGGCAGGGACTGCGTGTCCGTCTCCGCAGCCAGTTCTGGGACAGTCTTTCGGTTCGGTCCGTTCAGTTTCTACCCGAGGGGAGCCTGAGAACCGAATCCTCGCCGTTTCTCCTGACCTTTTATAGTGTGAATTTCCGATGGATTTTCCGATTCGAAGAGGTGCGATCTGAGCGCGGCATGTAACAAAAAGAAGCGCAAGGAGAGAAAAAAAGTCGCGCTCGTGTTGTTTTTGTTTTTTTTATTTTCCCTGAAGCGAGCCTCTATCCGAACTGCTTCAAAACGACACATCTAATGGATTATTAACAGACGGAGCCGCACAGAGTCATTCCGAGGCGATTCCATTCATGAGCTGAAGGTGAGATTCTTTGTTTATTTCTAACTTTGTGCGCTTACAGCCTCCTCCAGCAGGTTTTCTCCAACTTATTCCGTACGACCGGTGCACAAGCTTCACTGGGATCACTTTTTAAACTTAGCGCTGTATTAAAATCCATTTAAACTCGTAAAAAATAAGAAGCTTTGGACCCAATAAACGTCAGAACTTGTGTGGGTTTTCTATCCTGCTTAATAGAGGAGAATTTCGTGCGTAATCCTTTCTGTGGTTGTTCACTCATATGAAATAAATTAGAGCAGCTCTCCGAGGACCTATTTTGGATCACAGAGGCTAAAACACGGGAGAAAACGTGCGCATCATTTCCAATGTAGCAGGTTGAATGACAAAGAAGAAATTTGAACTTTTTGGACTGCGCTGGCTGTTGTTTCATTGTCGTTTTAAATATGTCACAAATATTCAAAGCTGACCAAGTGAATGAGGGTAAACCCACAGTTTGGTTTGAGAGCGCACGGGATTTTCAGTTGCCATTTATTTTCACATGGCTGGGAGTTTGAATTTATAATGATTAGAGGGTCTGATGGTGACGATGCTGCAGCTTGTGTTTACAGTCTTGCTGCTGTCGTTTGTTTTCCTTCACAAATCTCTAATCAGAGATGTGAGCTAACTGGTTATTTATACGTTTGGATTTTTTCCCCTAAGTCCCCCCCCCCCACCCCCACACATACACACTGCACACTCACCAGGGTGTGTTCAAGCCAGGAGGTAGAGTGCTCAAAATTACTTATGTGCAAAAAAACCAATCAAATATTTGCAATTCTAACCTGAAACTCCTTTTGTGTGTTTGCTTTTAGTCCAAGTTTGATTAAACATAAGAATAAAAATAAGTCTGATAGTTGTGCACATTATCTCTCCTCTCCTCTCCTCTCCTCTCCTCTCCTCTCCTCTCCTCT